TAGTAAGTAATAGAGCACCCATTAGTTTTACTTTCTAAAAGATTATTCTTTATATGTGAGATGCTGCTGGTAAACCCTCAAAGATATGGGAACCTCACAATGGGAGTGGGGAGTTTTCTCCCCAGTATAAAACAAGGTGTATTTGGCTAATAATTTTACTATTTGTTCACAGAATGACACCAGATAGATTTCCACTTTTAGAAAGTGACCTCTTGGTCACAGGACTTCTAGCAATGCAATTTCAGCAATATAAATACAGATTTAGAGCCCCATTCAGTTAGGTTCTGAACACTTTGTGCCAGGTATGAAGTACCCTCTTGCAAAGTGCTGGCCCTCTCTGCTATTTGTATTATGTATTATAGATTGTGAATGTATCCACAGTGTGCTATGAATGAAGCACAAATGAAGTACACTTCCTGTGCTAAAGAGCATATAATCTAGGGCCCTGATCCCTCATATGTGTAACATTGCTCATCAGAGCAGTGGCATTAAAATTAAGGGGACTAATCAAGTGAGTGAAGATACACACATGCATAAGTGTACTGGTCAGTGGGAGCTGAAGTGTTAAACACTTGTTAAGAACTGGTCACCATTGACACTAAAGTGTCCTACTAACAAGAAATCACTTTATCAGAAATGACGTTTCAGTTCAGCTGGTAAAAGAGCTGATCGTGGGTATTTTGTTAACCTGAATATATACTCTTTTTGTTTTTCTTTGCTTTTTAAATGTAAAAGTCCTCCCTTTGTTGTCTTGCTTGTAACAGGAAAAAGATGTAACATTTCGGGGGGAGGGGAACAATCCTGTTAATTTGCTTATTTAGGTGCAGTTGCCAAGTTAAAAATGTTGATTTGTGTGCTTACTGATGTTAACAAATGGGTAATAGGTATTTAAAAAAATAAAAACCTTTTCAGGTTGTATTATCTGTTTTGACTTTCCAGCTTATAACAAAGGTCACATTTACAGGACTGAGTAACATATACGCTGGTTTGACTGGTATGTTTCTAAATGATTTAATAAACACTCTCCCTCTTCCTCTCCCCACCCCGCACAATTAGCACATCTCTAGCAGGGCCAGCATGATAACGTGTTAATTTTTAAAAGGGGGATGCAAACACATACTTTGGCCACTGCTAATTCAGAACATTTTTTAACAACTCAGTTCCAATGCTATCTTATGGGGGAAATCGAGATATAAATGGGCTTCTTGAAAACAAGATATGAATAGTTGTAGAAAATATATTCCCCACGCTTCCAGTGTTGGAATCATTCCCTGGTCTATCCTACATCTTGGTTTCACTGTCTAATGGTCTTTCATTTTCCTTTTCCTGTGAGATCAGTTGGTAGGGTTTTTTCATTTCATTCTCCTCTATCACAGAATTACCCATCTCAGCATCCTTGTTCTTCAGCTCATGTCGTGACAAATGTTCAACAATTCCTGCTCCAATGGAGTCACCCAAGACATTTGTAGTGGTACGGAGACGGTCCCTGGAAAATATTTGAGTTAGTCTTGTTTTTTCCCACTTGCTTAAGAGAAACATTCAGAGTCTGTGTTAAAGTAGCTTTTGAAAATAACCATAAAATGATCCAACACTTCAATGATTATTTATTAATTTATCTGAAATATTAATGGAATTACTCCATCTTTGTGGAAATTAACAAATATGTTAGAATTCTAAGTCCAATGCAGTAACCTGAAACATAATGGTGCCAGCCATTTCACTGGAGGACATGGCTCCAGTGATATGTAGTGATATGGGCAGAGTGAGCTTTGATAGTTCATGTTTGAGGGCTTGTATGTTACAATAAGGCAGGTGTAATAATCTCTAATACCTGAACTGATTGAATGTTTCTGCCTTAGCTGTCATTCCCAAAATGAAAATAAACTATTGTAAATAATCTAAGGTGAGAATCATGAGTGGCCAAAGCAAGGGCCTTTGTATCACGTAAGGCCCCAAAATGGTTGCCTGTGGCTGTTGAGGTTTTGAGTGATTTCAAAGGGAATTAGGCCCCTAAGTACTTTTGAGGAGCTAGGTGCTGGTCCATATAAAGACCAGCAAGAAATCAGTTGAGCTGGAAGATGTCAGGAATGCTCCTGTATGAGTCCCTGTGTTAAGGGAAAGATTTGGAGTTGATGAGGTATGAAAGAAAAGTGCCTGGGATCTGTAGACCATAGTGAGAACAGGAAATACTTAATGAAATTTTTTTGGTTATACTTTTTTTCAACCAATGTTCTGCTGTGGCATTACTTCTTCTTGGGCTGGTAGACAGCCCAGCAGCTTACCCATATCTGTAGGGGTAAAAATATACCCCCTACATTTTGTGAAAGGCCCCAATGGTAAAGGGGTGGAGGAAGGTCCACTAAGGAGCTACTGAGACATGATTGTGTACAGTTACTCCCCACACAGCCCTTAGGCTAGAATAACAGCTGGAGAGGAGGAGGAATCCTGGAGCCAGGCTGGAAGTAGATTTCACATTCTCATCACATCCACCTGCCTAGATCTTAAATGTTTGGGATCTATGTACATGATGAGAATTTCAAATTGAGCATTGTTGCCATAAGTAACTCAAATGTTGGGGTAAAGTTCATTTTTCTCTCTGGTACTCATTAAATCCCAACATGAGCCATGGTGCTGCTGTATAGTCAACCCTATGTGTAGCATCATCCATAGGCAATGCTATGAAGAATAGTGTAAAGCATAGGGAGGGGCAAATGATTCCAGTATCAGAGAACTGTTCAAACCCCCATATATGTCATCTGAATTCCTCTGTATTCCCTTTCAGTGGGCTCAAATGCTTCTCTTACGCTTACTTTGAACTGTCGCCAGGAAGTATGGTGGGAGTTTACAGTTAGATGAACTCTTCCCAGTATGAATGTCTTCCATAGGAAAACAACAGCCATTTCATCTCTGCCCTAACTTCTCATTTGTAGTTGAATTCCCCATTACCCTACCCAGATAAGAAATGGACATAACACAAGAACATAAGATTGGCCATACTGGGTCAGACTAAAGATCTATCTGTGTAGCCCAGTATCCAATGCTCAGAGCCCAAGAGGGAATCATCAAGTGATTCAAACAAATACTCTCTGAAGAGCTGGGATTAAGAAAAAGGGAGCAATGGCTGCTATCCTTCCCTGACAGACCTTGAGATGGAGTGGCGGAATGCTTACCTCTTCACTTACCCTACCCCCGCAAAGACATGCCCTGGAAAGTGGAGCAGCTTGTCTACCACCCTTATTTGCAGTGGCAAACATGGAAAGATTCCTGGCTTCTATGCTGACAGTGATGCTGTTCTATTCCTATAACCCTGCACAGAGAGATGCAGCTGGGCCTAAGGGGATTCCACAAGTCCATACAGATATAGGAATTCTCCTCCTCTAGTACCATTGTTCTAACTGGGGGTGGTGGTGTCATCTATGGTAGCTGCATCCTGGAGCCCTAAGTCAGCCCTTCACTTTCTTTGTGCTTGCCCTGGAGTTTTTATAGCATGTTGGGGGGACCTCAGAAAGAAAATGTTGAACCCCTGCTTCAGCAGACACAGAAGTGGGGAAACAAATGTCTGGACATATTCAGATGTCTGATAAGGCTAATATGCATATTATTTAGAACACTAATCTATTCACCCGTTCTTAGAGAAAGCACACAAACCTTCACTGCTCTGAACAGCCTGAAGTGTTGGGATAAATCAACTCTGAACTGAACCACTGAATGTCCAGACTTTGAGCCTCCTTCATAATAGGGTAAAAATGTGTTCTTCAAAATAACCACATTTTCTAACTATTTTCAATAAAGGAATAAGTAAAATGATCACATGACTTGCAATGTCCAGTGTATTTTAGAATATGTTGTAGCCCTTTAAGAACTCTAAGAAATACTCACAAGAACCAGTCCACTGCAATGATAAGAGTGATGTCCTCTGTAGGCAAACCAACAGATGTCAACACAATGACCATGGTGACGAGTCCAGCCTGAGGAATTCCTGCAGCCCCAATACTGGCAGCTGTAGCTGTGATGCTATGCAGAGAGATAACAGAGAGAAAATAAGTCAGCATCCAAAAAGAATTCTTACTATTTTGCAAACATTTAAAATATGAAAAAATGACTGTTTTTAGGATGAATACATGTTATTCTGATAGCAACTAACAGCCCCAGGGATGGAGCCGCACTGTAGAAATACAGAAAGGCACTGTAGAAAGGCATTGTAGAAATACAGAAGGAAAAGACAATTGTCCCAATTGTATACAAGGCTCTAGAAAAAGAATATTAAGACAAGGCATTTGAGTAGGTATTTCTCTTTCTGTTTTTTTTCCATACAATTTCATATTGTTGGAGAAAAATACAATGTAGAGGCTTAAGGATTATTTAAATAGAAATGCCCATTTTAGAGATCGGTTTGAACTAAACTCCCCATCTGAACACAAAGAAACTTTGTGAAAATTTGTATTTGGACCCAAACTTCATAGTTAGCCCTTATCTTAATAATAGGTCAAACTGAAATCTTGGATCCAAGCACCTTTTGGTCTTTAGAGAAATTTGGCTCTGAATTTTCTAGGTTTCATCTCATCTTTGTTTGATAAATAATCTGTATCTAATCTTATAGAAGAATCAAGATTTAAAGCACAGGTCTAATGATAACACATTATCATCCCTATGTACAGGGGCGGATATAGGGCAGGGTGAGCGGGGCGGCTGCCTCGGGCCCTGTGCTTCAAGAAGCTCCGCGCATGCGCCGTGGCACCACCGCGCATGTGCTGTGTCAAAGCGGGGGCCCCGCGAAATTGTGCTGCCCTGGGCCCCGCAAAATCCTTATCTTCCCCTGCCTATGTAATACTGGACAACTGGGGAATCTAAAAGACGGTATCCATATAATCCATGGTAAATTTCATATATGTACTGGAGAGCAGAAATCCAAAATAAAAATGAGTCATGAGGGTCTGAAAGAATTTTCCCTTGTGTTGATTGAATATTGAAGTAGAGTAACAGTATTTAAAACTAGAAAGCTTTTTATGGCACAAAGTTAATAATAAACAAAATCTGAGATTTCTCCAAGTAATTTATATTCACTCAGCACTAGTATTGTAGCATGTTACTGTGCTGATTGTTTATGGTGCACATGCAGATGAATCACACAAACAATTAGACTACTTCACAATTTTTTTTCACACACTAGACATCAATAATACCATTTCTGCTCATAGCATTTTTCATAGTAATATCTTCCTGTAATACAAGGTGCAAGAATGTAAATCTACAGCTCCTACATGCTGCATAGATACTTAAGCTATCTAAAGTAATATATTTTTAAATGCTGGCTTTTGCTGATTCTCTTAAATATAGTAGTCTGTTGTTCATACCATTGTTAAAGGTAAGTTGAATCAAAATGTACACACACACACACACACACACACACACACACACACACACACAATGGCTTTTGTACCTGATTGTGATAATCTGCCCAAAATTCAGTTCAAAGTTGTTAACCTGTGCAATGAAAATTGCAGCCAAAGCCTCATATAAAGCAGTCCCATCCATGTTAATAGTAGCACCCACTGGGAGCACAAATCTTGTAATACGCTTATCCACTCCATTATTCTCTTCTAGACATTTAAATGTTATAGGTAGGGTGGCAGAACTAAAACGAGAAAAAGACAATATAGATACACACAATATATAATAATCTTCTATACTAGAGAGCATTAAGTCTGAAATAGTGTCCAAAAACAGAACAAATGAATGACAATTAATTTATTTAGTTATATCAACCTGTATTGTTTATCATACCAATAATACTATAGCATAGATTTCTCAGGCTTAGATATTGTTTTAACATTGATACTAGAGTAATTATAGCAATACTTCCAATGATATTTGTTAATGTCTTCATAGCAGAAAACGACCTTTTCTAATGCATCATGGCATTTGGGTAGACTAAACCCCTTTCACTGACATCCAAGGGAGATTTGTTTATGGACGGCGGGATTGGAAACATTTTGGTCAGATTTTATTTATAATTGGGCCTTAAAATTTCTTACCGTACCTTGAAGATGTTCCCAAAGCTGTGATCAGTGCCTGCAGGAGTCCTCCAATAAATACCCAAGGGTTCTTACGAACAACCAGGAAGTAGAGCAGTGGTAGGACAATAATAGCATGAATGAGCAAGCCAATAATAACTGTTACAGTGTACATGGCAAGCTGTCCACCAATCACCCCCATATCTTCCATCTCAACAATTTTCCCAGCAATCAAGAACAGGATACCAAGTGGAGCATACCTACAAGTAAGTAAGCAAATCAATTTGTGCTGAACAAAGTTTGTGTACAAAGTTATACTGATATAATGACCATAAACATCCTGGACCCAATTCAAGATCCTGATTAGTGGCAAGTCCACTGGGCAGTGGAGGCTACGTGCCTCCTGGTTCCCAGTGATGAGTATGGTTGGGGAAAGGGGTACAGTCAGGAAGCTGTTAGCCTGGCATCAGCAAACCTACTTCAGATTATAGGTAGCTGGGAATAATATAAGAAAGGCCATCTTGAGGCTACTTTTATGACGCACAGAGTTGAGGCTTTCCAAAAGAAGTTTAAACCATTTTCCTCAGCTGTGCCATATACTACTCAGCCAGAGCTGAGGATCTAGCCCTCAGCATGTCTACCTGCTAAGTTAAGGCATATAAAAGATTATCTTAATTGCAGCTGGACTTTTCATGGGGTCATATTTAAAAAGTCGCTGCTCGGCATTTTGCTATACTTTTGTAAAATTACATAACTTGATATTGCATTAGACTTTGCAGCCATCAAACCCACCTTGAAGTTTTCCAAATGCAATAATTCTCACCTCATATTTTAAATTATCTAATATTTCTAATATTATAATAATTACTATAATACACATATTTAGGAATGTGATAATGAGGGACAAAATGTTTGAAAAAAATTAGAAATTATTAGAAAAAATAAATTTCTTTATAACATTACTGCAGGATTTGTTTTTGTATCCATAACACTGGAGGTGTATATGTGTTTGTAAGATGATCTGCTGTAGCAAATAAGGCAACATATCATTTCACGAATGCATTGTTTTCTTTGGCCCCTGACTCAGAAATGTTGCATGTTAGACTTTTGTAAAGATTTCATAGTAAATCTTCTGAGTGGGGATTTAGTTTTTGTGTTATTCTACAAATAAAAATGAATAATAATTCAAAGGAGAACGAACATTTGTGAATAGCAGTGACATATTAATATGTTATGCAATTACAAAAGCAGTGTTCTGAACTAATGAAAATAATGGGCATATTGTTGATGATGGTATTGTGATATCTTTTTTTCTCTGTAGAGTTAGGGTACATCTACACATCAGGGCAAAAGTCGAATTAAGATACACAACTACAACTATGTCAATTGCATAGCTGAAGTTGAAATAGCTTAATTTGGCTTTTTGCACTGTCTAAACAGCAGGAAGTCGAAGGAAGAGCACTCTTCCTTCAACTTCCCTTACTCCTCGTGAAATGAGGGTTACAGGAGAAGGAGTAAGAAGTCCTCCATCTCAACATTATTTCGAAATAAGGCTTGCTGTGTAGATACGCATTTTGTTATTTCAAAATAACGTCAGTTATTCCAAAATAACACTGCTTTGTAGACATACCCTTAGAGGCAAAGAGTGATAGAAGTTAGGGTATGATAAGAAGGATATGCAAAGCAAACTCTGTTGCAGACTCTAAAGAGTGTATTTACCTCTTAATCATGATAGTAGGAATTATTCACATGCATCAAGAGGTGATTATACACTAAAATATTTAGATCCTCTTCAGTTTAATCTATCAGTATGCAGAATTAATTTTCTTTAAAAATCATGTTTAGTTATAAATAGCTAAACAGGTATTACCCTTCAGGATTGGCTCCTCCACAGCAGTTAAATGGAGTAGGTCTAGTGAAGTCAATGGAGCTCTACCGATTTCCAGTCAAAGAAGATTCTTAGATTCACAGATTTTTAAGGGCAGAGGAGACCATGAAGACCTCACAGTGCATTAAGCTGTGGGGCCATTGTCTGGCTTGAAGGAAAAATGTGCATGACCCTTTTTAGGTTGGAAAGGCTGTACCCCTTCCCTCCGCCCCAAAAGATTGCTGATTGTGAGAGAGACTTGCTGCAGCAGTTTCAACCACATCAGTGTGGGGATGCTGACCCATCCCCTGCTCCCCTGGTGACTGGAAGAGAAAGGAGACTATTTAGGTCCATGCTGGTGCTGGGAAAACCCTCTTTTTTTTTACCCGAATCAGATGGACCAGCACCAGTCCTCCCACCCACAAGAAATAATTAACCAGGTTTTTCATGATCCTTATTGGTGTAGGGATCACACCAGTTACTTCTTTCTCAGGGGTATGGGAAGGAATTCTTTTCCATGCCACCATATTGGCCAAAGTAATTTTTTCATCTTCCCTACAATGCTTAGTTGGGGAACTTGGTAGGGCAAACATAAAACAACGGTTAGGCTAAGATGTTGTGCTTCATTATATCAAGGTAGGGTGGATGTCTAGTGCAGGTACTCCTTAGGGGATGGTTACAGTGATAAAATGGATTGGCAAAGGATTTAAAAGAGATTATTCTTTAATTGAATAGCAAGGGAGATTCAGGCTTGGAGCCAATTCTTTTATTGTCATCGTTCCCCCCCCCCCACATCTACATTTGAGGAGGGAGGTGGTGAGGTTTCAGCAGCTGGTTGGCAGGGTCCAGGATGTGTAAAGGGGGAGGGCTGTTAACAGCTCCGCTGCTCTCTTGGGGATATATAAGTGATTGCGGAATTACCTGCATTATACACTTGTATTTGCCAGGTGCTCACTGACATTTAGGAATAAAGTTGTGGCCTAATTAAACCTCCGCCCATCTCTCCTGTCCTCCTTCCACTATAGTTGAACAATGAACTTCTAATCTGACCACCTACAAAACACAGATCCTCAGTATCCAAAACATTCTGACATAATTTAACAAAGCATTTAACAGAAGCACTTACCACATGATCAGAGCTACCAATTTCATGATAGCTTCATTAAGGCTATCAAAGAAGTTTCTTAATGGCATCCCTTGCTCCTTCATGTTCCCAATCACCAATCCGAAACTTATTGAGAAGACCACCAGTCCCAGGGCATTCACTCCATTTACGCCACCTGGAACAGGGATCACCTCCTCTTTCATTCGAGTTAGGGTGTCCATTGCCTCTGATACATTGTTTATTACGGAAGCCACAACAGATGTTTCATTGGGAAGAATTGCTACTCTAAACTTTCTCTTCTCATAATTCGTTTTAAACTTAAAAAAAGAAGAAAAGACAGAAAACAGAGTGACTTACTGCATGAACAGACAAGTACACTCAGCATTTATCACTATCATGTGATATTAGCAGTATTAGTTCTGATTTTTATATGTCTTTTTTGAGTTATTAATTTGTAGGGTTGGCAACCCTATAGGATTAGTTTGGAGTTGCCAAGAATTAAAGATTAATCTTTAATTAAAGATTATGTGTTGTCATGAAATCTCTACGGGGTATGTCTACACAGCAGAGTTAAATTAGAAATAAACTACGCAACTTGAGCTACACTAAGTGCGTAGCTTAAGTTGAAATAGCTTATTTTGAATTTGGGAATGTCTACACAGCATTTATTTCAAAATAGAGCACTCTTCCTCCAACTTCCCTTATTCCTTGTACAATGAGGGTTACTGGAGTTGGAGTAAGCAGTCCTTCAGCTCAACAATATTTCAACATTATGTAGACGCGGACTATGTTGTTTCGGAATAATGTCCGTTATTCTGAAATAATGCTGCTATGTAGACATAGCCTAAGAGTCCATCCAACCAAAATTGGCAACCCTACTTGTTTGTTTTATATTTAGAGGTAAAATAAAGTTTTAGGATGAAAATCTGGATCCCCTGAAGTAAATGGAAATTCTTGCATTGACTTCAATGAGGCAAGCATTTCACCCTTATTTTTCAAGTGATCAAGGCTGTACATTAGCCAGAACTACAATTTTTGTAACAAAATTGTGACTTTTGGATTGTACTTTTATAATAAGTTATGATTTTTTCACTGTTTGCATACTACTTAGCAAGATTTTTCCATAAATTGGACTTTTTAGCTTTTTCTATGCTTTTTTAACTATTGATTATAGATATTTCATACATTTCTACTGGAAAGATCAATGTAAGGATAATATAAATATCATGCACCATGACTTTCCTTTTTTCAAAAACTGAAATTAGGAATTTTACATATTTTTGCCATGGAAAAGCATTGCATTTCACTCTTTCTAATAATCTGTGATTGATTTAGCTCTACATTTACAAAAGAATTCTGTCTCCTGTGACCACTGACCACCACTGTGAACAAATCAGATTCAAATTCTGAGCATTCTCCAAATATTTACTTTGAAAACAGCATTTATATTTTTCTCATGATAATTTCATGTTCAGAATATTTATATCTATACCAGAAAACAAATCACAGCCCTATCCTGCCTACACAAGGAACCTAAGTCTCACTTATACAAAGCCAACTTTTATATCTCTCTGAGTAAAAAAATTTAAAATCACCTAAGTAACTTAGGAACATTTATCTCATTACACCCAATGGTATTTAGATGTTTAATTTTCTTAGGTGATGTTGATAATTTTACTCCATTATACCTATTCACTGAAAATGAGGATCCTTTCAATTAACCTTCAAGAATGCCAGATATTTTAGGGCACGGGTGGGGCACCTGTGGCCCCTGGCTTGCTTGGATCTAGACCCCAAGGCTTGGGGCTCCCACCCCAGCATTGGGGAGTATACGCTGGCCCTCCTTCCCCACTATCTCACTGTGGGGCTGGAGCACACAAAATCTACTAGCCTGGGGATCAGCAGCCCCGACCCAAAAAATGTTCCCCACTCCTGTTCCAGGGCTTTAAATCAAATGTATAAAGAAACCACTAATCCTTCAATCTGAGGGTATGAGTAGACTACAAGTTTTTGTCAGAAAAAGGTATGCAAAATGTGCTGCGCATTTTGCGTACCTTTTTTCGATTCTTTTGTCAGAAGAGGCTTTTCCGACATTTGGCCCATCTAGACTCCCAAGCCTAAATCTGAGTATCAGCATTTATTAATCCTTTTGGATGTCTAATCCCTGCTGTAGTATTCTAAAGGTCTTTAGCCTTTGCTTCCTTCCCTGACAGCATCTGGAAGTAAGGATTTTCATGCCCTTCTTAACAAAGGGGATTAGTGACGGGACTCCTTCCTCCCCCTCCAGACTGTGGCCCAATACCCTCAAAGAGGCAACAACGTCCAGCATTCTGGAATGTCTTATATCTGTCTCCTCAGGCCACTTCCTACTATCTGCTCTCTCACCAAAGTCTTGTACTGTAGTGTGCCTGAAAGTAGTGACAGAAGAGAATATTGAACCTTCAGCCTTCAAGGAAAATGTTTCTGCAGCACCCATCTTCAGGAGCTCTCAAGATAGGGCAGGGAGAGAGAGCTGTCAGGACCCTTCTGCTCTATCTCTGGCCAGCATATGCTTTTAGGCGGGGTTAGCTAGGGTCACCTAGGCCCTGAGATGCTCCTTAACCCTTTAATTCCTGTTCGATTTATACATGGAAACAGTCTCCTTAATTGAAATGCAATGCCTGGACTATTAATACATCCTAGCCCTTATCAGTCTAAGTTATCCATCCAAAAGACGGTCACTTTTAAGTAGGCAGATACCACATCTCAATGAGAGGAGAGCTAGGTTATTTGTGTGGGCCTTTGTCTGAAGGGAGAGGCACAAACTATATCCTGTGGGCTGTGTGACGATGTTTCCATAGATTACAGTACTAAACTGAACTCTAGTAGAATGCAGTTAGATCAAAGTGACATTTTAATATCTCATTTCCTTACGCTGCGAGTCTTTTTATTCTTTTGACTGTTTCTTTAATGGGACTATTTATGAGAATTTAGGTTATTCTCTTAAGAAAGACATTTCAGGAAAAACAGCCAATGAAGTTATGCTGCTTGGGTATGCCTACATTACTCTCCTAGTTCGAACTAGGAGAGTAATGTAGGCATCCCGCACTTGCAAATGAAGCCCGGGATTTGAATTTCCCGGGCTTCATTTGCATAAGCGGGGAGCCGCCATTATTAAAACCCCGCTGGTTTGAACCCCGTGCAGCGCGGCTACACGGGGCTCGAACTAGGTAGTTCGAACTAGGCTTCCTATTCTGAACTACCGGTACACCTTGTGGAATGAGGTGTACCGGTAGTTCAGAATAGGAAGCCTAGTTCGAACTACCTAGTTCGAGCCCCGTGTAGCCGCGCTGCACGGGGTTCAAACCAGCGGGGTTTTAATAATGGCGGCTCCCCGCTTATGCAAATGAAGCCCGGGAAATTCAAATCCCAGGCTTCATTTGCAAGTGCGGGATGCCTACATTACTCTCCTAGTTCGAACTAGGAGGGTAGTGTAGACATACCCCTTTATACTAGCTGTGGATAAGGCCCCATTTGTTTGAAGATAGAGACTTTTTTTTCCTTGATAGACTTATAAATAGTGGCATTATTGGACTTTTGCAAGCTATGGCATTATTTCAATAATGAATAATACATTTCAAGATGAATTTTAATTAAATTATCAGAGTGTGAATATAAACAGTATCAGTTGTCTTTCATACTAAAATGAATAACTTGTTTAAATTTCTATCATCCATGTCACTGTATTTGGTGATACAAACCATTGAACACAATTGTATTTGAATTTTATGCAAGACATTTACATCAGAAACCTCATACTAATGCAGTCAAACACTTTAGTAGTTAACTTGCAAAAAGGATAGTAACATAAAATGGTAATTATTAATATTCAGTATATACGAAAAGAAATAACACCATGGTATGTAAGAGAATGCTATAACAATATTATGTAGATGTAGTGACTCTCCTACTGTGGTTTAACTTTTGATTACACAGGTCAGTTCATACCTCCCAACCTGTCACTGCCAATGTGATATATATTATATCGGCAAACTTGAAAAACATAAGAAAAATGGTATCTCAGATTCTTGATTCAGCATTTCCCTTAATTTCATGCTGAATTATTTATAGAAGCATATATGAATCCGGCATCTCAACAGTAGCTGTGATCTATCTCAACTGGCTATGATAATTACAGGCAATAGCTAGTATTCTAGTGATTATACTTCATGTGTCTCGTAAGTTTAACACTTCAGTCTCAAGCAGACTGTGAAAGATAACACAAAACTGGGTAACTGGGTAACAAAATGACAGATGACATTCCATGTTGATAAATGCAAAATGATGTGCATTTGAAAATATAATACCAAATATATACATAAAATGATGGGGGTCTAAATTAGTTGTTACTGCTCAAGAAAGAGATCTTAGAGGGAGTCATGGTTTTCTGAAAACATCTACTCAATGTATAGTGGCAGTCAAAAAAGTTAATAGGATGTTGGAAATTAAGAAAGGAATAGATAATAAGAGACAATATAATATTACTACTTTATAAATCCATAGTATACCCACATACTGAATACTGCATGCAGGTTTGGTTGCCCCAGCTCAAAAATATTGGATATATTGGAATTGGGAAAGATATAGAAAAGGTCAACAAAAACAGAGCCGCTGCCATATGAGGAGAGATTAATAAAACAGGGACCTTTCAGCTTATAAAAGAGATGACTATGCAGGGATATGATAGAGGTCTATAGAATCATGACTGGTGTAGAGAAAGTAAATAAGGAGGTATTATTTACACATTCTTATAACTCAAGAACTAGGAGTCATCAAATGAAATTAATAGGCAGCAGGTTTAATTTTCATAACCTTGAAGGCTGGACAATGTTCTAAAAATTCAAAGTTTATTCATTTTGAGCAATACCATTCTATCAGCTACATATCTAAGCAGAGGAAGTGTCTTATGTAAATACAGTCTGCTCCAAAATTTTTACTTTTCAGAATATTTAACATTAACATTTTAAACCCTATTATAATCTGGCTTCCATGCCATCCACTGGCAAGAAGGAAGTGGTTTAAGCTGCCTTCCCCCCCCCCCCACACACACACCCGCACTGTTCAAAGAAAGAGCTGAATAGGCTTCATTAGGAGTCTCCTATGTTAAATGCTCAGTCAAAGCTGAAATCAGTGCTGGTAGAACTGCATTTCTGCTCTGCCTGCTAAGAGCTAAAAAATCACTGAAAGATTAAATCACTTGAGAGGGGGGAGAGTTTCTGCTCATCCTGCAATGTTCTGAAAATTACTAAGAGACTAATGTGCAGATGCCTCAACAGAGTGATAGGTGGCAGCAGAAATTGACTGACAATTGGCTGGTCAATGAGTGGTGAGGTGGAGAGGTGCATTATGTCACCAGCAGGGCAGCAGGTGGAGAGGTTACAGCAGGTGGCCAACAGGGTGGCTGGCAGAAAGTGGTGGTGAGGAAGTGCTCGAGCACCAGAGAGAGTAACATGCCTTTGTGCCCCCCACTGGGTGGGAAGCGAACTTTGCAGATGCATCTCTGAACTCTGAGTCAGCAACTGTGAGAAGGATGCAGAAAAGGATTGGTTATGTGGGGATTGCTGGACTTAAGAACCTGAGGATCCTTCAGGGTGGGTCTGTTGCTCATAGTTTATGTATATGAACCCTGTTTGTGGTGTAATCCCAAAATAATGCCAAGTTACTTCCCTCCATTTAATAAAAGTTTATTTTCTATACTCAGACTCAGTGCATGTAAATGAGCAAGCATGGCCTCTCAGAATGCCCACGGGTGATATGTAATTGTTCCATGTTACTGGGTAGGGACTCAAGCATTGGTTTTGTGTTGTATCAATGGAAAGGAACTCCTAGATATTGAATCCAACCCTGGCTGCTGCTGGCTCCACCTGGTGGAAAGGTTACACTGGTAATGGGTGACAGAGAATGGATTATTTGCTGATTAACTGTTCTGTTCACTTCCTCTGAAGCACTTTGTATTGGCCATTGTCAGAAGACAGGATACTGAGCTAAATAGACCTTTGGTCTGACCCAGTATAGCCATTCTTATATTCTCTTCCCTTGTGCAAGGACTTGCAAGAAAGAGTAATAATAAATGGGTGAACAAGTTCAGAAGAAATATAGTAAGCACGATGAACCTTGCCATTCTCTTATGTCAGACCTTCTTGATTTCCATCATTAGGTGCCACAAATTACTCTACGGTATATTTCAATATGTTTCAGGTTCAACTCCTTTTTAAGTGAAAACTGCCAAAATGCCAACCATCCCATAGGCTCATGTACTGTAGGGGTTATGTGTGCAATGGGCATAGCACAAATTGCATATCTTATTTTGAGTTTAGGGTGCTGTGTAGGCGCACCCGTAGGGCATGACTAGACTACATGGCTCCATCGACGGAGCCATTTAAAGTAGTTTACTTTACATAGTCAATGAAGCGGGGATTTAAATAATCGCTGCTTCATTAAAATAAAAATGGCCGCCGCACTGTGCCGACAAGCAGCTGATCCGGCACAGCGCGGCAGTCTAGACATGGCGTGGTCAACAAGGGAAGCCTTTGTCGACCGCTCTGGTGTGCCTCGTGAAATGGTGGATGCTTTCCAAGTAAGCATACTCTAATGATGAAAGGGACCAGATGGAAATAATTGTTCTTAAATATCTCCCGTTTATTCAGCTACTTCTGGCAATTCTTCTATACTGTAAGGTAAATTGAAGAACATGGTACATTTGTCAACAAAACCACAGAACATATTTATTTGCATAACAGTTCTTGCATTTTATAGAGTGGAAATTGTGCACTTAAGTAAAAATGCAACTTTCACAATATAAGGTAAAATCTCTTTGCATATATTGGGTTTAAAACAACTAGTATGAACTACTTTGCTGTTCACTGCAGTCAGTCATTTAAACTGCCTTCATTCAGAGGTCAGAACTCTTCTCCATGATAGCTTGGGGTGACACTATTTAATAAGACTAAACTCCCTGAGTACATAAGTGATATGTTTTAAAGATACTATAAAGATACAGCTATGGCTCCAAGCAAAGTTTCTGATACAGAAGCTAATGAATGGTGTATAATGTCAGTGAATGCAAGGTGAGACTGGTGTCAGGAAGAAGTAATCCTATTCTTGGTAACATACATTTATGTAGAAGGCTCACTATATTCATGAATTGCACTGCAAAGCTTTTGAAGGAGAAATTTAAATTCTCATTAGTATATTTTTTTCCCTTCTAACAGGAATGTTGGTTAGGGCTACACTGCTGGTGGAGAAACACAAGACATAACAATTGAAAATAAGAAACAAGTAATAGCAAAGCTTCATATCAGTTTGACCTATTTGCTTTGCTTTTGAAGTGTGCAGTAGGCTTCTCTACTTCCAACCTATATTCTTCGCAAACTTCCTGGATTTGTTTCCACCTTTGTACCAATAGTACTTTCCCTTCTCTTTTCCCTGTCCACAATATTGTCATTAAAAAGAAAAATATCCATTGATTTTAATTAAGCTTGCCTTATACAAACCTGGAAAACTTTTTAAATTTTTGAGCTTGGTGGCCAGGTGGGTTTTCCCAAGTTCTCACAGCAAGTACCACTGTATAAATGACTGAAAACAAAACCCCCATTTTAGTTCATTTCCTTTAGCTGAAAAGTAACAGTGCATGTAAGATCCATGATTTCTGTAATGGATCTCTAAATTATGATATGAAAGATAGCGTATTGGAATTTCAGTTGGATTTAACAGCATATTTTTACCTGTTTAAAGCAGGCTTCCACCAAGTTTGGAGGGAACATGTTTCTGTAAAAAGAAGATAAGAGAATGTGAGAAATATTAATCAGGATCCAACAACATGTTAATCAGTAGCTCAGCTGCTGTAGATAAACTGATTCCTGAAGGATAACTAAGATGAAAAAAACCCATGTGTATATGTTATAGTGAATAGGGTCTCAGTTATATTATTAGCCTTATTAGTTTTTCAGGACGAAATATCGGAGGGCCAGCCAGTACTGTGTTTCAAAACCTACATAACAGGCATGACTATGAAACAGAATGTTGGTGGCTTATTCAAATGCATATGATTAGATGCCTTCTTTTTGGTATTGGTATTATATGTTGGTAATACTGTTTATTAAAATGATCTGGATACAGATTAAATTTGCTCAATCTGTAATGTCATTCCACTTTTCAAATGAAAGCTCTTGACATTTTGACAGTAACACAATTTAGTATATTTTATTGTGATTACTAAAAAGGAATAGTCAATAAGTATTCCTAATTAGAGATGAAGGAAATATTTCAATCAAAACATTTTTTCAGGAAATAATGCATATTCAGTGACACTTAAACATTTCACACATCCATGCCAATTTTTTGCCAAATTGTTTCAGTAAAAAAAAAAACCCTGAAAATAATTCCCTAAAAATTCTGAAACATTTTGTTTTGAGATATTAGAACAAAATGTTTTGATTTTTTTATTTGAAATTACTTTGTTTTGAAAGTTCCTTTAATTTTACCTTTTAAATTAACAAATACGAATGCTTAAAATTGAACAGAAATGTTTCACTTTCTTTAATTCAAAGAATATTTTTACTTTTCAGTTTGCCTAAAATTTTGGAAAAAAAAATTTGGTTTGACCTAAAAAGTGTATTTTATTATTTTTTGAAGTTGCCAACAGACTGAAAATTCTGTTTACACAGCTCTCTTTATATTGTTTAAAGAACATACAACATGCCCTAAAGCGTTTTAGAATAATTTTATATGTATTGCAAATGTTTTTTCCACAATGCTGAAATTTCACAGGGAATACATGCCAGTCTTCACCTGGCTGATCTTGAAGAATCTTGGTGAATCTTCTGTTCCATTCTGGACATCTCCTTCCTGGCATCATGGTTCTTGGAGGTTTCCCTCCATGTCTGTGCTCTGTGACCCTCACCAACAGATTTAACAAACAAGATTGTCTTCTGGATTGCTTGGTGGTAAAACCATTGGGTTAACATTATCGGCTTGTTTGGGTTCACACTATCCTTGCATAGCCCATGTGAAACACTGGTTGGAAAGAAATGCACTGCACGGTTTCTTTGAGCTTGGATGAAACAGACTGCTTTGCTTCTGCTCCATTCTTCCATGTATTTTATCTACTTTTCCCTGTTTTTGTTTCTTCTCCATTCAAATTGAGCAAAAATATGGCCCCAAAGTAGGGGCTGAAATGTAAAATTAAGATAAATGACTAAATTAATGGGTTTCAGTGAAGTGAGACTCTATTGAAGTAGAGGGTAAGGTAGAGGAGAGTAACTTGGTGTTAGAAGTTGTAGTATGTGGAGGGAGAGAGAATGCAGTGGACAGTAAAGCAGGTCTCTGAACACAACCTTATTTTGAATTTTCAAAGCAGTTTCTTTCCTTGCCACTTTGTTCAGCTGCAGTCAACTGCAGACACTGTTGGTATTACCAGTTTGAAATGAAATGTGGCTAGTGTAGCTAGTCACTGTCCTACATGTTCTATGTTAATTTTCCCTGAGATGTACTTTTAGATATTACCATTGTTGCCATTGATGTTGAAATATGTACAATATAATAGCCGTACCTGATCAAATCAAGAAAAGCATCTGCTGCTGTCACTTGCATAATTTTGCCTTCCCTGTGCATATTTTCCTTTGTACCTTTCCCAGGGTGGATGATGACCACAATGATTATACCAATCATTACAGCAATGATTGTAGTACTCATGTAGTAGACTATTGCTCGCATTCCCATCTTTCCTGATGCTTTATTATCCAGGGCAGCCGTTCCTAATAAATTTAAGCACAAAAATATTCACTTCATAAAACTGTGAGTAAAGACACTAAACTCAGTGACTTGAGTGTGGCTTTGTGGGAGGAGTTCTGATAACCAGTACATTTAGAACTACTTTAGTTACATTGGTAGTACTGCCATTGTTTATGCTCCCACCTCCCAAACTTGTTATTACAAAATTACTTGTTATGCGAATTTAATTTTCCACTGAATTATCTGGTGTTAGGAAACTGGAATTATCTAGTGTTAGCAACTGATATCTGGAATCAGGATATGGAAATAGACAGACCATTGGTCTGTTCTGATATGGCTTTACCTTTGTACCACTGAGATAATACCTGGAGTTTTGGTTAACAGATTAAGCATAAATCAAAAATACTTCATAGAAATCTGCTGCACTTAATCTGGAATGGCAGGAAGGAAATCACAGAGCACCTTGACACGCGATTGACTGCCTATCTGATGTGTTTATAGACGTGTGTGTGTGTGTGTGTGTGTGTGTGTGTGTGTGTGTGTGTGTGTGGAGTACCTTATAAAAATGTTTAATACAATGATCTGAGTTTATCTTTGGCCCAGGCCATGAGAGATTCAAATACATTTAGTAAGGAAATCCTTGCTATTTTCTGAATAAACATGTGTAGTGTTTTGGAAGCATCCCAAATGTTTGAAACATCAGTCCTAATATTTTGCTGATCTTAGTGCAATTCTGATTTAATATGCATACCAAGGTGTTCAGTGTGGTATTTCATTTAATCATTTTTGCCTAGTTTGCACAAACAGCTGTTTTTCCGGAAAAACTCCGCAGTGTAGACACATCCACTGTGATACAGTGAAGCCTAATTCCATCTTTATGTGCTTTGAGATCTTTGTATGTTCTATACTAATGAGTGCAAAGTAGTAGTATTGTTTAAAACACGAAGTAAATTATAAAACCCTTTAATCTAGGAATGGGGAGTGTTTTTTTTAAAAAGTTTCCACCAAAGCTAGCTTTACTAATATATGTAAACACAAGTTTTAGTAATTATTGGTCCTTTCTGGTTCTGTAAAGAATATATGCAATTTTTATACCTGATGAGATTTGTTAGGATTGTTATTTTTAGTTAAATGTATACATATAAAAATAAAATGTATAATTAACAATGACAGAAAGAAAATGTGATATTGAAAATTGTGAGAACAATTTGTTCAAAACTTTGCTTATGTATTTTGAGTTTAAATGACTATATGTTCTTATTCCACTTGCACATATTGCTAAACAAGTAGCTATAAACTTTTTATTTTTTCCCCTCTGCATTTAGCTTAGCTCAGGCCCTGGGCTGCAGCCATTAAAGCCCCCATGGACTGTATTCTGGGCCAGCTCTGCCTTGATTGGGGGATTGGGAGTGGCAGGTCTGCATGCTGCACTTCCTCCTCTCCCTCACCCTCCTGGCACTGCATTTGCATGATGAGCATGGCACTGAGAAGCTCTGTCCCAGCCCTGCCTTGCCTGCAGGCTCTACCCCCTGCAGTTCTCATTGGCTACAATTCCCAGAAGTGAGTGATGGTTGCACACAGCCACTTGTTCACCCCACCAAACATGAGCTGCCCCAGGTAAGCACCCGTTCCTCATCCCCCTGCCATAGTCCCCCTCCCATACCCTAGCTCTCTCCCAGACCCGATATCCTACGTCCCATCCCCCCGCACTACCTCCTACACTACAAATCCTTTGAGCACAGCTGGGAGTTCCCTGCATCCCAAACACCTCATCTCCAGCCCCATCCCAGAGCCCACATCCCCAGCTGGAGCTCTCCTTCCCTCCCTCCCTCTCACACCCACCTTCCTGCTTCAATTCACAGCCTCCTCCTATAGACTGGATCCCTCATTTCTGACTCCACCTCAGATTATAGGGAGTCCCACAACATCTAGTAGCCCCAGGAGAGTTAATCTGGCCTTGGTTCCTGGGCTATAAAATTGCAGTGTAGATGTTCGGGCTTGGGTTGGAGTTGAGTTGTGGAACCCTCCCTTTGCAGGAACTCGGAGCCCAGACTCCAGCTCAAGCTTGAATGTTTACACTGCAGTTTTATAGCCCTGCAGCCCAAGCATTGACCTAGGTCAATCCCAGGTCTTTTAGTATAGACATACCCCTCGAGGCTAATCCAGAGCCCAGTGAAATTAGTCAGAGTTTTTTTTCCATTGGCTTCAGTGGGTTTTGGATGAGACCTTCCGTAGGTACCAGGAGCCATACTCTTTTCTTACTGAGCTGCTTTCCAACTTGGCTTGCTATTTTGCGATCATGCTGCGATGTTGCCTTGTATTTCAATTGTGCTGGTCTTCATAGAATCATAGAACCATAGAGCTGAAAGAGACCTCAGAAGGTCATCAATTCCAGTCCCCTGCTCTAGGCAGGAACAATCCCAAGTAGATCAACCCAGCCAAGGCGTTGTCAAACCGAGACTTAAACACCTCTAGGGATAGAGACTCCACTACTTCCCTAGGTAACCCATTCCAGTGCTTCACCACTCTCCTAGAAAAATAGTTTTTCCTAATATCCAGCCTGGACCTCTCCCACCACAACTTGAGACCATTGCTCCTTGTTCTGCCATCTGTCACTACTGAGAACAGCCTTTCTCCAGGAACCTCCCTTCAGGAAGTTGAAGGCTGCTATCAAATCCCCACTCACTCTTCGCTTCTGCATACTAAACAGACCCAACTCCCTCAGCCTCTCCTCATAGGTCATATGCTTCAGCCCCCTAATCATTTTCGTTGACTTCCGCTGGACCCTCTCCAATGCGTCCACATCCTTTTTGTAGTGGGGGGGGGGGGGTCGCACTGGACACAATACTCCAGATGTGGCCTCACCAGAGCCGAATAAAGGGGAATAATCACATATCTGAATCTGCTGGCAATGCTCCTCCTAATGCAACCTAATATGCCATTAGTCTTCTTGGCTACAAAGTCACACTATTGACTCATATCCAGCTTCTCATCCACTGTAATCCTCAGGTCATTTTCTGCAGAACTACTACTTAGCTGGTTGGTCCCTAGCCTGTAACAATGTTTGGGATTCTTCTGTCCCAAGAGCAGGACTCTACACTTGTCTCTCCCCCTAGCTTAGTGTCATCTGCAAACTTGCTGAGGGTGCAATCCATCCCCTCATCCAGGTCATTAATAAAGATATTGAACAAAACTGGTCCTAGAACCAAACCTTGGGGCACTCTGCTAAAAACCAACCACCACTGTTGGGCCCGGCCTTCTAGCCAGCTTTCTATCTATCTTACCATCCATTTATCCAGTCCACATTCCCTTAACCTGCTGGCAAGAATATTGTGGGAGACCGTATCAAAAGCCTTGCTAAAGTCAAGGTATATCATATCCACTGACTTTCCCATGTCCACCGAGCCAGTTACCTCATCATAGAAGCTAATCAGATTGGTCAGGCACGACTTTCCCTTTGTGAATCCATGCTGACTATTCCTAATCACTTTCCTCTCCTCCAAGTGCCTCAAAATGGATTCCTTAAGTATCCCTTCTATGATTTTTCCAGGAACCGAGGTAAGACTGACTGGCCTATAGTTCCCTGGATCTTCCTTCTTGCCTTTTTTGAAGATGGGCACTACATTTGCCTTTTTCCAATCATCTGGGATCTCTCCCGATCTCCACGACTTTTCAAAAATAATGGCCAAAGGCTCCTCAATGACATTTGCCAACTCCCTCAGTACCCTCAGATGCATTAAGTCCGGACCCATGGATTTGTGTACGTTTAGCTTTTCTAAATAGTTCCTAACCTGTTCTTTACCCACCAAGGGCTGTCGATCTTCATCCCATCTTGAGTCACTTAGCGCATTAGTCCGGGATCCCACCTTGTCCGTGAATACAGAGGCAAAGAAAGCATTGAGTACTTCAGCTTTCCCCACATCATCTGTCATTAGGTTACCTCCTTCATCCAGTAGGGGCCGCACACCCTCTCTGATCACCTTCTTCTTGCTAACATGCCTGTAGAAACCTTTCTTGTTATCCTTCACATCCTTAGCCAGTTGAAATCCCATTTGCGCTTTCGCCTTCCTGATAACCCCCTGGCATTCTCGAGCTATACATTTAAACCCCTCCCTGGTCATTTGTCTAAGTTTCCACTTTTTGTAAGCTTTCTTTTTATGCTTACATTTCTCCTACCATGTTTGCCTCTCTTGCTACGTGTCGGGATGGTTACTTTCTGTGCCTTCAATAAGGCTTCTTTAAAATACTGCCAGCTGTCCTGGACTCCTTTCCCCTTCATGTTAGCATCCCAGGGGATTCTGCCCATCCGGTCTCTGAGGGAGTCAAAATCTGCTTTTTTGAAGTCCAAGGTGTGTATTTTACTACTCTCTTTTCTTCCTTTGGTCAGGATCCTGAAATCTATCATCTCATGATCACTGCTTCCCAGGTTGTCACCCACCTCTACTTCTCCTATTAGTTCCTCCCTGTTTGTGAGTAGAAGGTCAAGCTGCGCACGGCCCCTGGTCGGATCCTTCAGCACTTGTATCAAGAAGTTATCCCCAACATTCTCCAAAAACTTCCTGGATTGCCTGTGTACTGCTGTCTTGGTTTCCCAACAGATGTCAGGGTGATTAAAGTCCCACATGAGAACCAGAGCCTGCAATCTGGAAGCTTCTCTCAATTGTCCGAAGAAAGCCTCATCTACCTCATCTACCTGATTCGGTGGCCTGAAGTAGACACCAACCACAACATCACTGCTGTTGTTTGCACCTCTAGTCCTTATTCCTTATTCCTTCTTTTCCTCTTCAGACAAAGGATTTTCTAGTTTGAGACAGGGAGGGGCTGACTGCTCTGTCCCAGTTCTTCACCTTTAATGTTTGTGGAGCCTGCTGAAGTAAATGTTCAAGATGGAACATAGAAACCCAAATATTAATGAAGTCTCAGATTTTGCTATATGAGAAGACAAATTTCTACCACACAAAGATGGCTCCTAGCAGGTGCTGAACATCCTCACCTCCTACTGAAGTCATTGGGAGCAGAGGGC